GAACGATTAACAAAAAAGCCCAAGTTAAAACTGACTTAATACACAGCACTAGAATTGTTGTGAAAAACCTTGGGAAAGACCTCACAAGGGGGCTACTGGTGGAAACCTGACTGGCAAACCTAAAAATAAAAGTGTTATTGCTATTGGGAAACTGCATCAGGGAAGAAAATTGCATGGTCGTAGACAAAAGTTACATCAATGAAACAAGATGTGAGGAACAATACGCAATTTTTGGAGCTCGTGTGAAGGGAAAAAAGGGCCAAAAAAAACCCCTTTTTTGCTGTTATTTTTTTAAATGCCCTAACTGCATCCCAATGGATTTTTCCCGTGGGGTTATCCGGATATTGTGACAAGGGCATCGCAGCCCCCCGAGTTTCATTTGGGGAGTTGCTTGGTGATAAAAACCAGAAAATGACACTTGGGGAGATATTCCCAAATTTTGTGAGGTAAGGGGAAGCCGGTAAAAGGTCACTTCCTCCTTACTTGGACCACCCGGGTATCAGCTCCAGTTCCTACAAAAAAAAAATCAAAAAAAAAGAAAAAAAAAGAAACAAAGATCCTTGGGGCACTGGGGAACAAAAGTATGGTAAAAGCACCTGAAAGGATAAGGGAAAATTTTGCCGGGAAAAGGGGTTAAGGGATGGGGAAAGTTTTTAAACAAAATCCTTTCCTCGGGTCTGCAGGGTGCTAACCCTAGATGCCAAAAAAAAACATTTTTTTTGAGACAGCTGCTACTTACCGTTGTTATATACGATCTTGTTCGATAATGAAGGAGGGCTTTTGAAAGACCCCTACCTAGAACATCATCCCTAGAAAAAACATCACCATGGATAAAACGTAAATAAAAAACCTCAACCTCCCATGAATGTTTGTCCCTTAGTGAAAAAAGATTTTAACTCCCCTGGGTTTCAAAACTAAATAAAACCGCCCTTTCCAGCAATCCTTCCTCCCTTGGGACACACTGCAGGGCTTAGCGGGCACAAATGTGATAAAAACCTTGGACTTGGGGAGTGGGGCCCCTTTATTCATTTTACAAGAAAAATCAACCCAACCAATATGGTTTTAAAATCATAGGCGCCAGTGCCCGTTTTATCTACAGAGGGGGAAGGGGCTTGAGAGTAGAAAATGACGTTTTCATGTCACCCCTTTTTTTCGTGAGGCCGCACTGAGTTAGGGATCCTTCCCCGCTTTTCCCTTTCAGGGCCCCCTACCCCCCCCAGAGCTCCCTCCACAGAAAACAGCTCTTTCCCCTAAACCCAATTACCCCCACCACCCCAGACAAAATCCCTTTTTCCAGCCCAAAGTAATTCCCTTAAGGAAACCTTCTCAACCCTATAGGTCTAGCACCTTTACCCCTCCCCTCCCCAAAACCTTTACCATGATTAATGGCCCACCAATGAATGATGACGCCCACAAGCAGAGCCGTGGCCCCCTCCCCACCCCGTAAATTCATTGGCGTAAAAGCGTTAAAACTGGTTAGGGCCCAAATTTAAGCCTAGGATTTACGAAACCCCTCCCGGGGACCGGTAACTGGTTTTCCACAGAATGGGTTTTAGCGCCAAAAAAAATGGCGACCCCGCCCACTGTTGACCACAACCCCCAAATGCACATGCAAAGAAGGGAAACCCCCCATACCCCTTCCCCTTTCCTCAAGCCGTTTCCCTCCCCATGGTAAAATAAAACCCGACTGGACGCCTGGAAAGGGTACCCAAGTGTACCCATCCGGGGGGAGGATGCACTTTTCCCCTTCTCAACCTTTGGGGGTACAGGTACAACGCCCCTAGGGCACAAGCCTCGGGTTATGGTACACTAAAGGTACATGAACTTGAGCTCACAATACCCCAAAAAAATAAATGCATTATAGCCCCTTTTATGGTCAACAAAATAGAAACAGTTTTTTAAAAAAACCGGCATTTGGGTTAATCTAGCGGGAAAAAAAAGGCATAACCGAACCGGAAATTTACCTTTGCAAAGAACAGTGAATTGGGAGGGGTTTTAAATTGGTCCCAATTCTGTCAACCTTGCCAGAATACCTACAAGCCATTCTATTTTCCAAACCTAAAAATATCACTGATTTTAGATCTTTTTTGGGCCTTGTCAACCAGGTTGCATATGCTTTTTGCATGACAGGGAAATGGCCCATTCGCCCTCCTCCAACCTAAAAACCCCATTTCTCTGACCAAAGAAAAGACACTTTGTTTAAGAACCAAACAGGTCATCCCCGGAAACGAAAAAGGTTAAGATTTTTTACCCCCCTAGACCCCCAAAGTCTTACCCCAGATTGGGCCCCAAAGGGTGGCTTGGCTTTTGGCTCCTAAAACATTGCAGTTGTTAAAAAGACCCTTTTTTTTTACAAAGGCTGGAGGTCACATTTGTAGGGAGCCGTTTACTATGCAAGAACAGCTATCCCAGTAGAAGAGAGGCCCCAGCGGTACTACGCACTGGGCGGGCAGGTATTTTTTCCTGGGGTTCTCAACCTTATCATTGTGTCACCAAAACACTCCCTTTAACCTTGCGACCCATCTTGGGGAAAAATTAATCTGGCTAGGAAAATAAAGGAAAAAACCTCAGGTAAAGTTTTTATGGTTTTCATCCCCGTTAAAAATAGGGCCCCAAAAAGCCTTCCAACCCACTGGGGGCCCAGAACGGCTTTTTCCACAAGATATTTCTAGTATACACCTAACCATTCAAACATTTTACCTTTTACCATTGAGAGAAACCCCGGTATTTTAAAATCGATTTCCTCCATTTGGGGCACTGTATTTTTAGCCATTAAAACTAGACTCCTTGATTTAAAATCATGATGGGAAAAGGGTCAAACGCCACAGCCAGTGATAATAAACTGCATACCCCTTTTACAACAATTTAAACTGGGCCTCCCGGGGTTCCCAGCAGGATTCCCCGTGGCGCAGGAATTATAGTTCAAGACAACCTTAAAAATTGATGGTGTTATCTTAATAAGGGGGGCATCATCATCCCCCCCGTCCCCCAGACCCGGGAAATCCTCAATTTACTCCACCAGCTCACCCAAGGATAACTGAATGCTGCACGCGCGAGTTCAGTTTTTTGGCCTGGAATAACACCAGACATACCCCCCTTGGAGCATCTTGCCCCAACATTGTAAGGCACGCACCCTTAAAAAACCTCGGGCGGGGCCCCCCTTTTCGCCCCCCCGACCTACCCGAATACCCATTCCGTGCTTATGCGCTTTTCTTTTTATTCAAGGGGGACACTATTAGAAAATCCCTTTCTGGTGGCCAAATGTGAAAAGGGATCATCATTTTCCCCAAGGTTGGTTAACCTACGGGGTACATTTATTTCCTTTTGGGGTCCCCAAAGCTTTTCGATGGCCGTCCCGAATTTACAGGCATGTCCCCCGTAATTTCTTACAGCAGTGGGGGGGGCATCACCGTATCTCCTCGGTAGCATTCCCATAAAGCAATTGTCAAAATGAATTTGGCGGAAAGTAAAGCGTTTTCTTTGGGAAAACTAATCCGACGGGAATCTAGATACGGACCGTTTTAGCGTTTTGCAATGCTACAGCTATCGCAATACACCGACACAGGGACAACAAAGTTTTCACCGGCAATGTGCGTGTTCGGGAGACCGCTTTCGCGACCCATGTTTATCCTCCCCCACACTACCGCGATTTACGTGAGGCCGGCCTTAGATATGTTGTCATAGGAAAGAATTTGCCTTTACATACTAAGAGGACTCCCCGCCACTCCGCATTGGGGACCATGTCCCGCATCCAGAATCAAGGATTGGGCCCCATCCTCTTAAGTGGGATAAGACAGGTAACGATAATTGAGGTGAAGCAATTCGATCAATATGTCATTAGAGTAGACGGGTCAGGTCGCGTCACATTGAGGAACGACAATTCCTTAGAAAGTTTATTCCTATTTTTACCCCAGAGTTCACGCCACTTACTCCCAGACAAGGGCATTCCCATTGCAGACATTCATTCATCCGGGCCCATATTCATGGGATGCCCTCTACCACAGCCACCCAACTTACCCCCAAGCCTCACCTGGTGTCACTGAGCCTACACAAAAACACCAACTACCCATCAGGTCCCTACCTCGGGCATGTCCGAAAAGTCCAACCACCCAACGGACCCCCACCCACAGGAAGACCCAAGTTCCCCACCACTACCAAGTAGTGTTCAGACCGAACCTCCCCCTTCACCTACTACACCCCGACGCTCAGAGCGAATAACAAGGAAACCTAAAAATGGCACAATGATTACGACATGCCATAAGCGTAATCATACCCACAGTCAGTGTTCATACGTCATCACCCACTAAATTAACCTTAATGATGTTCCAATCCACAGGGTGTGTTCATAATAGTGAATTATTTTTACTACGTCAGAAACATGTAAACTGTTAATTATTGTGTAGTGACATGACATGGTGTTATTTTGTACCGTGACTGATTATTTAGTGATATATATGTGTGTTTCAGTCTTTTTTTCTTTTAACAAATTATGTGTCAAAAGACTTGGGGGGAGATATACGAATATATACAGTGCACGGTACATGAGGTCAGGACTTCACATGGTAGAGTTACTTCCCCTGATGGGAAAATCGCCCATTTGTAACATATTTTTACAAGACACAACATCACAAGTGAAGTGGCACAATAAACTTTAATTGATAGGTAATTACAAACCCAAAAATGTATAAGATTATTTTACTCCTTCATGTATTGCACTTTATCACGGTTCATGCTATATGTATTTCATTGTCAATTTAATCATTCCCTTGGTTATGACATGGAAGTCGTATTGTCAAGTCTTGTGATGTATATCTAGTCACATTTAAAGGTTTTCTGTATTGTTTATTTTCAGACTGTGTTCATTGTGAATAATAAAAAACACAAATAGAACAAGTTCTTATTGACTATAGATAACCTGAGGTACCTATTACTACAACTTTCATGCTAAAAACAATTTTCCTTGTGTGTCACATGTGGAGCAGATTAACAGTAATTGATTTATTAGTAACTTTTATTCCTTCATTGTTGTAATTCAGCTTTCATGGTGCAGTAGATAATTATATAACCATAACTAGACAGTCTAGAGTAACATGCTATTAGGAGAATGACAGTTCATTACAGAAACAGCATTAAATAAGAATTATTATTTTGCAGACACAAAGCAATGAGGAGCAGCCTGGAGCAACACATTTGATCTTCAGTGGCTTTACAAAGGTATCTTGTTAATTCAAAGTTATTTTAGAATTAATAGGAAAGAAGTGTCACAGTACCCAATAAGACACTTTTCAGTTCTTGATAAATATAGCTATTAGTCACTATTTACAAACCTACTTTAATTCAAACTCTTTATGACACTTTAATTTGCATTTACATTTTGTTTTACAAATTTTAGAGATTTTGTACATTTTAGCTTGAAAATTTTATCAAATATTTATCCTGATGAAGGTTCGTTAAGAACTGAAACTGGAAGATTATTAATTACTCAACCTGCACTGGTGTTGATGTGTTGTATTTCTTTATTTCTTTCTTATTTTAAAATTTTAGAGTTGTATACATATACCAAGGTCTTACAAAAGTGTTTCACTTTCTGTCTTTACATATTAGATATTGATAATCATTTTCTGTCTTTACTTATTTGATATTGTTAATCATATTTTAGGACCAAGTGATGGCAGAACTGAAGCCATAACCTCAAAAGAGAAAGGTACAGCAAAGCTCTTCAGAATGCTATTCAATATAGAAGAGATTAGGGGCCGCTCATTGTTTGGTATGAGGAAAGGGAACAGAGAGTCTGACGCCAGACCTTCTTGTGCAGACAAGGCAAAACTTAAGTTCTTGGAAGGTAACTAATGAACTGAATGAAAATATCATTTTTGATTCTGCGTATATTTTCTGCCTTGGAGTAAATAAGAAAAGTCTGATTCTTCCACGTCTGCAGTGCTGTTTTTTAAAGTGTTTTAATCATATCTATGCACTCAAATTGAATATAGAAATATCCAATAGTCATATAAAAATGTAAGCTTATGTTTTTAATTATTGTATTAATCATTCATAATTTTTTTTGTTTTAGATTGTGCGCTCGAAAAGTTGCCGACAACCTAAAGGATTGAACTCAAACCGTCCAGGAATAGAAAGACAAACTGAAGATAATAAATGGACTAATGTTTTGCTATTTTTTGAGACAATATATAATTTCATATGGAAACATTAAAAAGGATTATTTTTAAAATTTGTTTGTTTCCAATTTAGGGTACAGGGTGACTTTCAAGCAGTTTCCAGCTATTGCCACCCACAAGGTGGAAAATTTCTGAAAGGGTGAAAATAGGTGGCATTTAGTGGAAACTGAATATGCCACTATCTGGTGGCAAAATGGTGGAAAAGTGTCTAAATACTCCACCAATTTTCCACCCTTATGGTGGCAAAAGGTGGAAATAAGTGGCATCTAGTGGAAAATGAGTTTGCCACCATAAGGTGGCATAATGGTGGCATTATGGTGAAAGTTTGTCTAAATACTCCACCAATTTTCCACTCATTGGTGGCATTTAGTGTAAAAAAGGTGGAATTAACTGGAAAATTATATAACATCAGTCCTGCTCAAATTTTTCACCATTTTCATGATTTGGGTGGCGTTTTGGTGGCGTTTTGGTGGCATTATTGGTGGAAAATTGTCTAAATACTCCACCATTGAAAAGGGTGGCATTTTAGTGGCAAATCTAGGGACGGGTGGTCACCCCACATGTCCTGTCTGCATGACTGCCAGATTTTACATACTGATGAAGGGCAACCATTGCATATATTGTAAACAATGGGTTTCACGCAAAAGTGATGATAGCCTAATTAATTCGGCGTGAACGGTTTGACCCATTTTACAGACTTTTTTTTTCTTACTGTCAAACCGTTACGCCTAATTTTAACTGTCATTTTTACGCACGGAAAATCTACCGGCAACACTATCGATAGTTAGGACTGATTTTTACTGCTTAAACATGAAAGTAACTTCAATTTCCTCTAAAAATCAATAGAATATAAATTCTTTTACTAACTTCTCCTAGAAAAAATATTAGATTGTACCTGTCTTAACGCATACATGTGATTTATTTCAAATTTGTACTGTCAACATTATCTTTGGCGGACATGTTATGACGTCATCGTAAAAAATCGATTTCGTGAAAGCTGGTAGTACCTACCACTGTGTCTAGCAGGTAAGTTTGGGTAACGCAGGAAGATTAACTTGCAAAAAAAAAATAAAGGGGAAATAAATCTATTCATTATATGTAATAAATTTGTTCATTATTAAATACTAATGAAAAAATACCAATGTGTTTAACATAAAATGCAAAGGTAGCAAATACAGGCTCCGAACAAGTACTGTTGTTTAATATTTTTAAATGTTTTAATACATGTGCTCAACATTTATCAATAGGTGGTTTATCAATGCCTTCTTGTTTACTGCTAATGACTGCCAATGTCACTCTCGCATTAAATACTGACTTCATTTATACATTTATATGACAATTAAGAACGTAAAAGAAATATTTATGGGAACTATTTGAATGCACATCAAATTATTCAGTATTTGTACAAATAATATTTCAAGAGTTCTTTTTCACCGATTGCCGATAAATAATACCATATTAAACCTACTGATGAAGATTAATGTCTTCTTGACATACTTTATTAATTTACTAAAAAGGAACTTTATTGTGATCCAGCCATATGCTGTGTAACTATAAGGGAAGGGTCACATATTTTAATTGAAATAGATTTTAAATAGAGGATATTAAAAAAAGGTCATTGAGAAGATAAGAATTTTCAAATGAACAGATTAAGAGACTTGTACATGTTTAAGGTGTATGTCTTGTTGTTTTATACTGTTTTGGTGACACTTTTGTTTGTGTCCCTTGTTTTCTCGTCTATGGTAAGTGTCTTCCCTTTGCCCCTAGTTTTATTTCTTTATTTCGCCCCCTCCCCCTTCCTTGAATTTCCTATCCCCTTCCCATGTGCTCGTTTACTTAGAGGCCCTATTAATCATTCATTTGTTTATTTTCTTTGATTTTGATTTCCTTGTCCTTTAGTAAAAAACCTGACCGTGCTCTCCCTTGCGCCCTGTCTTGTTTTTGTTTAGGATCCTCCTGGGCTCCTTGCCAATGGTTTTTGTTCGTGGGTCGTGTTGGGGTTGCGTTCATTGAACGTCACATTTCCTTGTTTATCTTGTTTAACATATTTTATACATGTAAACCAAACCGTAACAAACACATAATGATTATTAATACAAGGTTCGGCAAGCAAGCAAAGAAATGTAAAGAAAATAGAAAAAACTTATCCACCCATCTCCCCGTCTTAAAACCCCCACAAAAAAACGCCTAAAACTGCAAAACCGAAATATAATTACACATAAGTGCCAAAGACGGCTCTGGTAGGTGCAAGTGCTCCATTGCGCCGGTTTAAACATCACTTCAACATAATAATGTTGAAATTTTGAATCAGCACCCACAGATGACTGTACAAAATACGGAGGTAATCATGGAACTTTCAATGTAACACATTCGAGGTGCCGTTCAATGAAAAGCGGGCACTAGATAACATGGAATTTTACGACAGTCGTTCTAACAGATGTGACTACAGTAATTTAAACAGACTATCTGTCTTACATTGTTATGTTATTCTACGTCTAAATTACGGTTACTTAATTCCCACTTGCTGCGTTTTTATCATAAACCCCGTCATATCTGTGCGACAATTGCATTTTACTGAGAGCTGTAATTTCTTAAAATAACAAGAATAAAGATCAACAAGGCAAAGGCAACGTCACAGGACGCCGCCCCCGGACACACCCAAGCAGGACACCCAGCAGGCACCAAACAAGTATCTGGAGTGAACACAAGGGCGAAAGGAGCGGGACATGTAATGTGAAATAATATAAACAACAAGCAATTATCATAGTATTGCAAGCAATCCATAAGTCCCCTACCGGTTAGAACCCCATCAACATTCTGAAGGGCCATTGGCCATTCACTAATGTTTCAATTTTTCTCTATTTTAAAAAAAAATTGTTGGAAAAGTTCTTTAAAAGTGATCACAGGATACAGTTTTTATGAACAGACAGACAGACGGACTGAAAGACACTCTAAAGTTAATATTTGAAACATCCCTGTTACCAAAATATACCATTTTAAAAGCAAAATTCTTAAAGAGGAGATAACTCTTGAATTAAAGATGCAATTTCATAAAAATGTTCAGCTCTTTTTGACTAATCACAAATATTGTTATATTTGCCATGTTTTAAGCCTATTTGTTGCCAAGGCAACTGATATTTTTTCAAAATAGGAAGAACAGATAAGGCATGCATAATCTCAAGACTGCTATCTACCCATATGTCAAGTTTCATAAAAATATTTCCAGTACTTTTTGAGTTATCACTGGATTCAGTTTATGTGTAAAATTTGCCATATTTTCAGTCTATGTGTTGCCATAGCAACCAGAATTTTCAACATAGGAAGAAAAGAAAAATACGTGCATAATTTCAAGACTGCCATCTACCCATATGTCAAGTTTCATAAAAATATTTCCAGTACTTTTTGCGTTATCACTGGATCCAGTTTATGTGTAAAATTTGCCATATTTTCAGCCTATTTGTAGCCATAGCAACCAGAATTTTCAACATACGAAAAAAAGAAAAAGACGTGCATAATATCAAGACTGCCATCTACCCATATGTAAAGTTTCATAAAAATATTTCCAGTACTTTTTGCGTTATCACTGGATCCAGTTTATGTGTAAAATTTGCCATATTTTCAGCCTATTTGTTGCCATAGCAACCAGAATTTTCAACATAGGAAGAAAAGAAAAAGACGTGCATAATCTCCATACTGCCATCTATCCATATACCAAGTTTCATAAAAATATTTTCAGTACTTTTCAAGTTATCGCAGGATCCAGTTTTGCGGACGGACGGACTGACGGACGGACAGACGGACGGACAACCTAAAGTCCCCTCCGGTAAACCGGTAGGGGACTAAAAACAGGCCCACAAGGGAATTAAAGGGAAAAGGGCTGTACGGGTGAAAAGGTGGGGGGTTAAAAATGGAAGGTGGGGGGGGGGGAGAGAGAAAATACCTACCGTCAACGACAATCCAACAAGACAGACATCACAAAACATGTAAACATCCAAAAACAAGTAACAATACAGACAAGAAAAACACGTGAAGGAACACAAAGGGGTACCGCCTTGGAACGGTCAGTGGTAGTTAAACCACTGGGGCGTTTAAACCGGTTTTAGGCACGCCAAACCTCACTCTTAGCTCAAATATGTTCCTGAATGACACGAAAATGTATATAAAATTAATCCCCGCCAAGTGAAATTCTAACATTATGGCCATGGTTACATTAGACGAAACTAGAACTGCCACTATCATGGCTTGAATACCCCCGCATACCACTTTGTCAGAATCAACAGTGGCCATTTAGAGCTCAAGGACAACCTCCCGGCCAAATCTGAGGTTACTAAGCAAGTGCATTGCTAAGTTATGTATTCTACATGCTTCAAATGTGAAAATGTCAAAATCAATACATTGCGGACAGGACATTCTTTAGCAATTGAGAAGAAAAGCTTTTTTTTGTCAAGGTCCCTGTGACCTTGACCTTTGACCCAGTGACCTCAAAATCAATAGGGGTCACCTTATAGTCATGATCAACATCCATACCAAATATGAAGACTGTGGGTCAAAGGAATCTTAAGTTAATGGGTAGACAAACTTTTTGAAGTCAAAGTCCCTATGACCTTGACCTTTGATCCAGTGACCTCAAAATCAAAAGGGGTCATCTACTAATCATGATCAACATCCATGCCAAATATGAAGACTGTGGGTCAAAGGAATCTAAAGTTATTGGGCAGACAAATTTTTTGAAGTCAAAGTCCCTGTGACCTTGACCTTTGACCTGGTGACCTCAAAATCAATGGGGGTCATCTACTAATCATGACTAACCTCCATGCCAAATATGATGACTTTAGGTCAAAGGAATCTTAAGTTATTGGGCGGACAAGCTTTTTGAAGTCAAGGCCCCTGTGACCTTGACCTTTGACCTGGTGACATCAAAATCAATAGGGGTCATCTACTAATCATGACTAACCTCCATGCCAAATATGAAGACTAAGGGTAAAAGGAATCTTAAGTTATTGGGCAGACAAGCTTTTTGAAGTCAAGGCCCCTGTGACCTTGACCTTTGACCTAGTGACCTCAAAATCAATAGGGGTCATCTACTAATCATGACTAACCTCCATGCCAAATATGAAGACTAAGGGTCAAAGGAATCTTAAGTTATTGGGCGGACAAGCTTTTTGAAGTCAAGGCCCCTGTGACCTTGAC